CGAAAATATGCCAATTACTGAAAACGGCGATGGGTCATATTTTGCCCAAACCCCCCTGCAGTTTTCAAAATGTCTGAAATGTCGGAAATTTGACTCCTGAGCGTGATTTTTGAGCCGAATTCTGACTCTCTGCACCTATTTTCAGTTTCAAATTACGACGTTTCATACCGAAAATATGCCAATTACTGAAAACGGCGATGGGTCATATTTTGCCCAAACCCCCCTGCAGTTTTTAAAATGTCTGAAATGTCGGAAATTTGACGCCTGAGCATGATTTTTGAGCCGAATTCTGACTCTCTGCACCTATATTCAGTTTCAAATTACGATGTTTCATACCGAAAATATGCCAATTACTGTAAGCAGCGATGGGTCATATTTTGCCCAAACCCCCCTGCAGTTTTCAAAATGTCTGAAATGTCGGAAATTTGACTCCTGAGCGTGATTTTTGAGCCGAATTCTGACTCTCTGCACCTATTTTCATTTTCAAATTACGACGTTTCATACCGAAAATATGCCAATTACTGAAAACGGCGATGGGTCATATTTTGCCCAAACCCCCCTGCAGTTTTTAAAATGTCTGAAATGTCGAAAATTTGACTCCTGAGCGTGATTTTTTATCCGAATTCTGACTCTCTGCACCTAATTTTAGTTTCAAATTACGACTTTTTATACCGAAAATATGCCAATTACTGAAAACGGCGATGGGTCATATTTTGCACAAACCCCCCTGCAGTTTTCAAAATGTCTGAAATGTCGGAAATTTGACTCCTGAGCGTGATTTTTTATTCGAATTCTGACTCTCTGCACCTATTTTCAGTTTCAAATTACGACGTTTCATACCGAAAATATGCCAATTACTGAAAACAGCGATGGGTCATATTTTGCCCAAACCCCCCTGCAGTTTTTAAAACGTCTGAAATGTCGGAAATTTGACTCCTGAGCGTGATTTTTGAGCCGAATTCTGACTCTTTGCACCTATTTTCAGTTTCAAATTACGACTTTTTATACCGAAAATATGCCAATTACTGAAAACGGCGAGGGTCATACTTTGCCGAAACCCCCCTGCAGATTTCAAAATGTCTGAAATGTCGGAAATTTGACTCCTGAGCGTGATTTTTGAGCCGAATTCTGACTCTGCACCTATTTTCATTTTCAAATTACAACGTTTCATACCGAAAATATGCCAATTACTGAAAACGGCGATGGGTCATATTTTGCCCAAACCCCCTGCAGTTTTCAAAATGTCTGAAATGTCGGAAATTTGACTCCTGAGCGTGATTTTTGAGCCGAATTCTGACCCTCTGCACCTATTTTCAGTTTCAAATTACGACGTTTCATACCGAAAATATAACAATTACTGAAAACGGCGATGGGTCATATTTTGCCCAAACCACCCTGCAAATCTTAAAATGTCTAAAATGTCGGAAATTTGACTCCTGGGCGTGATTTTTGAGCCGAATTCTGACTCTCTGCACCTATATTCAGTTTCAAATTACGACGTTTCATACCGAAAATATGCCAATTACTGTAAACAGCGATGGGTCATATTTTGCCCAAACCTCCCTGCAGTTTTCAAAATGTCTGAAATGTCGGAAACTTGACTCCTGAGCGTTATTTTTTATCCGAATTCTGACTCTCTGCACCTATTTTCAGCATCAAATTACGACTTTTTATACCGAAAATATGCCAATTACTGAAAACGGCGATGGGTCATATTTTGCCCAAACCCCCCTGCAGTTTTCAAAATGTCTGAAATGTCGGAAATTTGTCTCCTGAGCGTGATTTTTGAGCCGTATTCTGACTCTCTGCGCCAATTTTGAGTTTCAAATTACGACGTTTCATACCGAAAATATGCCAATTACTGTAAACGGCGATGGCTCATATTTTGCCCAAACCCCCCGGCAGTTTTCAAAATGTCCGAAATGTCGGAAATTTGACTCCTGAGCGTGATTTTTGAGCCGAATTCTGACTCTCTGCACCTATTTTCAGTTTCAAATTACGACGTTTCATACCGAAAATATGCCAATTACTGAAAACAACGATGGGTCATATTTTGCCCAAACCCCCCTGCAGTTTTCAAAATGTCTGAAATGTCGGAAATTTGACTCCTGAGCGTGATTTTTGAGCCAAATTCTGACTCTCTTCGCCTTTTTTCAATTTCAAATTACGACGTTTCATACCGAAAATATGCCAATTACTGTAAACGGCGATGGGTCATATTTTGCCCAAACCCCCTGCAGTTTTCAAAATGTCTGAAATGTCGGAAATTTGACTCCTGAGCGTGATTTTTGAGCCGAATTCTGACTCTCTGCACCTATTTTCAGTTTCAAATTACGACGTTTCATACCGAAAAAATGCCAATTACTGAAAACGGCGATGGGTCATATTTTGCCCAAACCCCCCGGCAGTTTTCAAAATGTCCGAAATGTCGGAAATTTGACTCCTGAGCGTGATTTTTGAGCCGAATTCTGACTCTCTGCACCTATTTTCAGTTTCAAATTACGACGTTTCATACCGAAAATATGCCAATTACTGAAAACAACGATGGGTCATATTTTGCCCAAACCCCCCTGCAGTTTTCAAAATGTCTGAAATGTCGGAAATTTGACTCCTGAGCGTGATTTTTGAGCCGAATTCTGACCCTCTGCACCTA